TTTTTTTTGGTTTTTTTATTGTACGAACAGCTGTATTTAAATGTTAAATGAGATTTCGGGAATCCTGCAATGTTGAACAATCCAGCATCATTTTTTCCATATTTTTTTATATTTTTTTAATATTTTTGATAAGTTAAAAGGAGCACTTACTGGTGCTATTCTTCATCTTGCATAGAAAAAATAACAGTCAAAAGTTTGACTGGTAACTGTCAGTATGATTGTATAAAAAATGTAAAAAAATAATAATATGCGTTTTTTTGCATTTTTTCTAAAAGACAAAACCCGTATTGAATACCTAAGCTATGTACACGAGCTTCCTATTTCCGTAATGCACTCGAAATTTCCAGTAGTACATTTTGCTTTTTGAGTGATCTCAGTCTTTATTCGTTGTTTTTCTTAAGATCTTGCTCGAAATTTAAGCTTTATTCAGCACAGAACGTTTACAGTTAGACAATCACAAACTAAAAAATAATTTTATATATTTTTCACTGACTCAACTTTCAGCTGCTTCAGGTTATGTTAGTTTCGCTTCAAACACAATTCTTCTGTCGATGCTTGACAATATTCAAGCTTACAATGCCCATACTGTAAAAGCCGTTAACATATTCCAGTGGGATGTCATATCGATCCTTTATCGTACACTTCTGAAAAAATATTTGCACTTGTTTGTGCACATTTCGTAATTAAGTATGCCTCTGTTTAAAGGTCAAGGCTCGCTATGCTACAGGCAAGAAAGACCATTATTCACCCGGCTATTAAGTGCTGCACAGTGCAAGTCTGCTTAGCATATTCCGAAGAGTACAAGGGTAGGAAATTGCGCAACAAGCCAGGAAGCTGGCTGTTGATGGAAATTAGTCAAGGCTGTAATAAAAGCCTTATCGAAAACCTCGGTACGTAAAGTGCTTTCAGCCTGACGACCCAAATCGAAGATTTTCCCCGGCTTGGATATTATTGTTACGGGAAGCAATATCCACGAAAAGGGATAAGATCGGTTATAAGGAATGCCGGATAAGACCGTCTTGCCTTTTTATTGATTGTACAAAATTTACTGGATTAACGATGCCGTTGTCGCAGCTGTGTATAAACATCAGATATGGCTCAATGTTATTCACTTCATTCTCCTGCCCAAATATTCGGAAGTTTCCCTTATGATCAGTTCTGGTTGTGTTTAATAAGTCATCCGGATCCACTGAAAAAGTACATAAGACGGTTATCCATAGCTTCAGCCTAGCTTCTTTTGTGATCTGGAAATAAGTATTTTTTGGTCGAACACTGGGAAGAACTGCTGCCCTAACTTTCAATTTTTCATCTTCCAGTAACGATACCAAAAAAATTTCATGATTACATTTGAGAATTTTTAATGACAGTGTCACTTCTTATTACGCGAAGAGGCACTACTTGGAAACAGATGAATGTATTAGTAGAAACGGTAAACTAAAAAAATTTTTGTATGAAAATTATGAAAGGGACTGCACAATTAAATGAAACTCTATAAAAGAAAGAGAGGATAGACAAAAGTTAAAAAAATACGCATTCTTGCATTCTCATAAATTTGCGAAAATACATTTGTTATTTTCCCCGAAAGGAACCTTCGCTTCTGTTGCATTTGGAGCATTTGCTATTGCAAATCATTGGCGACGTGCACCGGGCGCGCCCGTGCGATAATGCGTTTTTGCAGTGTTTCGCTCTGTAATGAGATCGCTCGGAAACCCAGTAGCTAGAAATGTGTAGCATATTGATCCTATGCTGTACTTGAACAGGGGAACATCCTCTAAAAATTTCAGCCTCCCTGCTTTCCTGACTCCTGAGTTAGCCGTTTTCCCGCGAAAAATTTTCGCGGGGCCATACGTGAAAACCACATACACTGAAGGCCCGAATTTGATAATTTTAAGTTGCACTTGTGCTGGGAACATTCCCTGAAAATTTCAGCCCTCCAGGTTCCTTGGTACATGAGTTAGCGATTTTTGTGTGAGGAACCCTCACGGGGCTGTACGCGGGAAACGCGCATAGCTGAAGACTGAATTTAAAATCTTTGAGTTCTCTTTAGACGGGGGATATAACCAAAAAATTTCAGCTTTCTGGCTTTTCTGTTTCCCGAGTTTGCGATTTTCCCGCCAAAACTTTCACCCCCTCGTATGCGTGGCCCAGACTTGCGTGAGGGTTGGTACCGCGATCCTGGGGTGGCCGAACCACTGGCAAAATTTTGACGCCGGAGCTTGCTTGCGTGTCGAGTTGAAATATCCGGCCAGACACACACACACACACCGGGATCGTCAGAATATGCGCTTTTCCATTTGCATATAAGCAACCTAGGCTAGAACGCACCAGGCGAGCCGGAGCGATCATGCGTTTTTGCACAAAACTTGAACTAGGTTAATTGCAT